AAATAATAATATTGAATTTAAATCACTTTCAAAAGCTTTTTATCCATATTTTACATAAATGTATTCAGCTGGGTGGCATCATCAAATTGAATAAAGATGTAAATTTTATACTTGAAATTTTAAAGGTTTTTGACATCACACTTACATAACATAACTACATTCAAGCACCCATCTCTATAGATGCACATCAAAAGTATGCCAAATAGATGAAAAAAACAAAAATTAACAATTGACAGCTACCTGGAAAAAGAAATGTCTTACAAGGGCACCGGTATAAAATATATACCGGCCCTCAAGATTCAGAATTTCGCTCTAGATTTTTTTTTTTTTTTTTTTTTTTTTTTTTTTAAGGATCCATAAGTTACAATTCATGCAAAATTTTACCACAATTTCAGTTATTTTATACATTGCCCCTCAAAGGGTTAAACTATGCAACTAAAAATCAGCTGGCAGTAAGTTTCCTGAACTCTGCTAAATTAAAATATGTACTTGACTAAAATAATAGTTTTCATGCAAACAAGTCTTTCAATGCAATATTTGTTAAATATATCTCCTGGGAGTTTTTTTATATATCTATTTAAATTATGCAAATAAAAAATAAATAATTTAGTTTGAGTTATTAAAATTAGTTGTTTTTAACCTCTACACTCTTGCTAACCAGGACGGTTATTCTACGCTACGAGAGTCGACAGCAAGTTGTGGGCCGACAGATGTCGCTGCTAGTGAAAAACAGGTCTGCCCGACATCCTATATTCTCTGAGTACGGAAGTTGTAGAAAGCGGGCAAAAAAGTGTTGCCGCGTTGTCAATCAGGGTTGTGCAGTTGACATACTAAGTAGACAATGGCTTTGTATATGTTTTTGCCGCTGATTTTTTTCATATTTAAACGAAGAATACGGTCGTAGATCTCTGAATCGGTGGCGAATGTATAGAAAATATGTTGATGCTTTTGCTCTGCCAGAAGATGTTTCATTGTGTATTTCACGATTGCCAAAATTTATAGTTATTTTAATTTGCGATGAACTGATAGAGTATTTGGAGCCACATTCAGAAAACAAGAACGCAGTTTCTACTGAAAGAAAGGTTATTTGTACTATTCCTGAAATTATAGATATAAATTGTAATTATATGCTTTAAAAATGTAGAAGATAATAAGTTTATTAAGCACATATAGACATCCGATAAGCTTCTACTCCATTTATGTACAGCAAGAATTACATTTATTTTAAAATCTAACAGTTGAATTTCTTACGAACAATACTGTACACAAAAAGGAATGTCTTTCATTATTACGCGAAATTCACACTACTGTAAAATAAAAATTTAAAAAACAATTATAAAACTATAAAATAGCATTATAATATTTTTTCAGTAGCAGTACTACTACTAGTGCGACACTTTTAAAATAAGTTTTAGCCCAGAAGGGCTATTAACTTCGTTTTGCCATTTTGTAGCGTTTCACTTTCAAATCGTTGCCACTAAATATCATCGCACTGTATTATATTTAAAGAAATTAAATAATGAGAAATCTGCATAAATGTATGAATGTTTCTCACACTGTGATAAAACAACGATACCTAGAGCCATGAAATTTTGAATAACGTAATCCTCCATCCTAATATAGGCATCTTGGAGGCCAAAATGTGGAACTGGGAATTTGTTTTATTATCTATTTCAAATTTTGTAAAGCATTTATGAGTGTTTGATTAAGAAACTGAATGATTTCAAAGCGAGCAATGGCAACATTGTACAGAAAAAAAAAAAGAGGAAAAAAACATTTTCATCTCTAGCGCAGGAAACTATGTATCGGAAATTCTAAAGATATACGCTTTTTAAATTATATGATTTTGCTGCTGAATTGAATTTTATGGTTTAAATGCGAAGAACATGATATTTAATAAATAAAGGTAACATGCAAAAAATTTTAAAAAACCGGCCTTTTGTGAGTAATATAAAATCTGAAAGCTTTCAGATTTTTTTTTTTTTTTTTTTTTTTTTTTGTGTGTGTGTGTGTGTAATTTTATTATGCTTTAAAATTGGTTTCTACGGGAGGACTTTCTGAGGGAAACTGGCTTGTATACACATTATATATGGGGAAAGCCACGAAAACACCGATGCGTGCAGCTCCTTCGTAGGATTCGAACCTCGGACCAAACTACCTGCGTTCAGCGACTCTACCGCTCGGCCACTGGTTGGCTTATTAGCAGAATTATACTGTATTATTATTTTATTATGCTATAAAGTAACAATGCTATAAGACTGAGACATACCTTTAGAATTTTCGATACAAAGTTTCGCGTGCTTTCGAAAATGTTTTTTTTCCCCTCTTTTTTGTTCATGGAATAGTACTTTTGTAATTCATTAGTATTAAAAAATCATTGTTTATTTGAAAACTTAAAAAAAAGATACTGTTCATAGCAGAGTTCTCCCTTTTATATTGTAAAAGAGATATTGATTATTATTAGTTTTCTGTTTAATGTGTCGAAATGCTGGTTTGACAAGGATTTCAACTGCAGAAAAATATTTAAAGAAACAGTGCGAATCTGGAAAAAAAAATCACCTTCAGTATATTAAAAAAAAACACTGATAAATTTATAAAATAATCTGAATTAATATAAAAGATTTTCTTATATGAAATTATCTAAGTGCATTCAGTTACAATATTATTAACGCAAATATCGTTTTGTGTAAAGGTAAAGAAAATATTTTTTCGCGCTAAATTAATTAATGGATTATTTATTTTGAGCAAAAAAAAAAAAAAAAAAAAAAAAAAAAAAAAAAAAAAAAAGCACGAAAAATCCGAGTTTAAATTATTTCGATTTAAATTATCGCGAAAAGTCAAAGAAACGTTTTGTCAAAGAACGATTCATCTTAAACCCTGTTCCTCAATTTCCTATATACGTCGTACATTGATTATTTTTACTTTGGTACTTGCATTGTGAAAATAATATTATTATCTTCTAATTATTTTCACAGAATAAAATCTTTTGAGAAGGAAGAATATTTTAAATAAGCAGTTTATATATATATAAGAAATTAAAATAACAGCAACGTGATATTAAAAAAAAGTATTAGTAATTGTGTGACAAAAATTACAATACGAATTAATCACACATACAAGGATAGATTTGTATAATTTTGGTATATATTTTATATTGAAAAAAAATATTTTTTCTTTCATGTTAATTATAGAATAAATTATTTAAAATAAAAACATTTTGATGCATGTGTGATAGCTGAATGCAGCAGCAATCGGCCCGTACTGTAAGCGTAATGCGAATGAATTTTAGTCCTTTACATGAAAGAAATAATTTTCATAGAAAAGAAAATAAAAAAAAAAAAAAAAAAAAAAAAAGGAAGAAAAATATTTCTTTCTAATTTCTTACTTAAAGAAATATTTTTCTACTATTAACTGTAAAATAAAATGCGTGAAAACATCTTAATGTAAGCATATTAAAAAAAAAAAAAAGAACTTAGTTTGCATTTAGATTGTAATGCAAGTTAATCATATTATAAATTTAAATGAATAGAATTGTTTATTTCTAAAAAGATCTGAAGTAAGCTTAATTCATTTACTCTTATCTATTTACTGTTGCTTTCATAGTATTCCATATCCCTCTACATTTCTTAGTCCTAAATTCCTGCATTAACTTTCCTCTTAAAAAACGGGATCCTTAAAAAACGGATAACATAGCAGCATATTCTGCTGCGTGTTGGTCATAATACTGTTTTGTGCTATTTTTTTTCAAACTACAAATGCAGCGTGTGAGTTAGTGAAATAATAGGAGAATATTCCTAGAACTTCAGCCAGTGCGCACTATAAATTTCGTCACTCGTCTGTACTGCGATTGGTCTAAAGCTCCTTGAAGCCTTGTCCCCTTTCAGTAAAGTCAAATGGACCCACCCGCCCACCAACTGAGGACCACAGAATGGCTTTCTCCGATAAGTTGTGATGGGTTGTCCATACCGGTTTTTTTTAGTCAATATTGTTCACTCAAGTTGTAGACAGATCCAGTGATCATAGAATAGGCGTCCAGAGTTGTTGGAATTTTTTTTTTTTTTTTCCAGTTTCTTTAGAACATAACACAATGTTTGGGACTTCATTCACTTGAATGCATTAATTTTAGCTTACTTAAGGATTGAGTAGAGTTTTCAAAACCCATTATAAAACAAAAGTGTAACAAACAAAAATTTCTTGCAAATATCAACTTTTAGATTTCAGACAAAAAATTTTAATTTGAATACAAATTTGATTTTTTTTCTTTTGCATTATTATTGTTATGCATGTTTTAATATATATTTAGTAAGTGGAATTTAAGATTTAGTTGAATTTTTTTTTTTTTTTTTCTTTATGATTGAAAAATTTTCATTGCATTAAAAAAAAAAAAAAAAAAAAATTCTGGCCAGTCAGTTGATTTTGGATTGAGAATTCGTCCCACATGCACTTTCAGTCTGAGACCACTGCTATATGGAACAACAAGATATAGAGATATAATATTATTAAATAATGAATAGCCATAACTCTGAAACAGAAAATGGAAGTTTATTTAATAGATATAAAAAGTTTAATCTTCAAAACAGTAAAACAATATTTAATTCACGAAAAAGATAACTCTTTTAATCAGAATTTTAACGTAGCAGAAGATTATTCATTTAGAATATTTGTCATCTGAGTCTATATATCAGTCAAATAATTACACATTAATATTAATTAAAATTAATTAAAAACATGAAACAATAGACATAGTATCACATGTAAAACAAGATTTAAAAAAATGATTAAGAATCCATAGTATGAAAGTCTGAAAATATTTTAGCATTTTAGGAGAGTTAAATTATGAGGACTTTGAATAACCCCCCCCCAAAAAAAAAATTCAATACAGTGAACAGGCCAGTTTTACTTATACAAATCTTCTCATTCAAGTAGTTTCTTCAATTTGATTTTGAATAAACTATCCTCTACTGTATATGATACTTAAAGATATATTAGCTTTTCCTTACCTTTTTAGCTTTGATTTGTTTTAAAAAGAGAAAGCTACAGTCAAAGCTAGGTGTTGGCTTTTTCTTTTCAGTCCTATTTGTTGTATTTGAAGGAGCATCACGCTTCTGAACTATATAGTCATAAGTAGAGAAGTTTTGGCACACTAAAAAGCAAATAAACATAACTGCAAAACAAGCCCCAAATTTTCTGAATTGATCATTTAACTAAAAAGGAAACATGGATACTAATTAAAATAGAGCAAAAATTACAAATTTGAGTTTTTCATGTAGTGATTTTCCTTCCCTACATGAAAAACTTAAATTAGAATTAGGAGTTCTACAGAACAAATAAATATAAGGCAAGTATAAATAAGTTTGAATTGTATAGGATAAAAAAATCCTGCAAAGTGCAGGAATGTTTTATCCTAAGCAATTCAAAATAATCTTTACAGTTTATATTAATACTGTGATACACTTTTGATTTCAGTTTTAGACTAATATTTACTAACTAAATTCATGGCAAAAGTTTTTATTGCTTACATTAAAATTTTTGCAAACATCAAATAAATGTATAACTTTCCCATTTCTTTCCTATTATCTTCAAATTTCTATCCATAACTGGGAAATCATTTTTTATATATACATTCTATTGTACAAAATAACAAGCAATTAAAATGAGAGTTTTATTCACATAAAATGAGTGCAAAAATTATGATGCCAATGAACTTAATAAATTTCTAAAATGATATGACTTCATGTAGTGAAGGAAAATCACTCCCCCCCCCCCCCCGTTTTCTTTTCTTAATTCCAGAAGCTGAAAGACTTCTAGAATTAAATAAATACATAAAACTAATTTTCTTATGGTACATAAAAATATCATCTATCCATAAACAGTGTCAATATATAAATACAATATATCAAAATGCCATACACTTAAATGGAAATCTTCATGTCATATAATTCCCATCATTAATATTGCCAGAATTTGATTCATTTACAAATGTCATAACTGTCAACTCGGAAATCTTAAAAAAACAGTAGATTTTTGTGAGAAATCCAGGAGGAACCAGGAAGGTTTCATGTTGTGTGGCAATACAATTTCAAAAGAACTCTAAACAGGCTTTAATTCAGTTATAATGCATGTTTCATATTATTCAATTACTTGTAATACAATTTTTATGTAAAATATATCAGTATTTAATTAGATATTCTAAATCCTATGTACTTTGTATGGTCTCTTTTTAAATTTTTGTTGTTGTTGTGACTTATCTCACTTGTCTGACAGTAACATGAGAACAAGCTCATGAAATTCATTTTTGGAAGGAGTGCAAGACTGCACCTGTTGTTGGTAAAAGCCTTGAGTGCCATACAGATGACAATATGGCTTTGCTCAGTTCCGTCCCAAGTTTCGAAGGAGAACACCCAAGAAGGACAGATCTGAGGGTCTTCCACCCCTCTTCCCCTACCAATAACCTCTCCAGGGGACTTTCAGCTCGTGACATATTTAGAGTGCCCCCATGCCACACAGACACTACACATCTACAAACATCTATGCCTTCTCTGGGATTTGAACCCAGGCCTTTCAAGTACAGCAGTCAGTGTCGCTAACAAATATTCCATTTGGGCAGCTTTTAATTTTATTTTACATTTTAATAATGAGAAAAATCCCACGTAGTAAAGAAATTTTTTATTTATCAAATATTTTTAAATACAATGAAATAAAATTAATAATTAATGTACATATTCTTTGTGTGGATAAACTTAGTAATTTATCCAATATTGAAGTAAAATAAACTTAAATACAAATTTTAACTTATTGAAGATTGCTTGAATCTTCATATATAAATTTACAAATGTCTACAGTAGATTAAAATAACTTCTATCAAATGAAATTTAACAAGAAAAATTTAATAAAATCAATCAATTTAAATAAAAAATTCAGATGAAATACAATTTGAACAGAATTTGCCTAGTTTAAGCCTCATTATTTCAATAAACTTCATTTATTACCGGGAAACATTTTCCTTAATAATGTTAAAAATTGAAAATCAGCAGATTTGGTGATCTACTGGGAGATGTGATGACAGCCGGGAGTCTCTCAGTAAAACCAGGAGAGTTGGCAGCTATGAAATATAAATATTAGTTAAAAATATTGCATAATGCTTATTTAATTTAACACTATTGATTTGATATAACTCAGTCAATTCTAGCAGACTTTCTTTGCGGAATATAGTGTAACTATTAGATCATAAAATTGGTAGTGCAAATGCTAGGTTGCAAAATATTTTTTATGAAATTTTACTGATCATTTCATTACTACTTAATTTTGCCTTTTATTTCGATGATAAAATTCATACTAATACTTAAGAATTAACATCAACATGTTAATTCATAAATATTTCTCAAAGATAAACAAATTCATCAAAATATAAAATTTTGCAGGCTACAAAAACTACACCGTTTTAGATGAAAAATTCAATTTTATGTTTAAAAAGGCATAGTGTTCTCAAAAGCTAAAAAAAAGTAAATACAGAGGGTGTTTACACATTCTTAGAACAATTTTAATAAAGAATTTAAAAATGCAAATATTTTGGAATAAAAATTTCTCACAGCAGCTTATTATTTGAAATGAGAAACATTGTCTGCTATTTTTAAATTTATTCCGATTTCAAAATGTCGCATGTAAACAAGTTGTGGATTGAATAATATGTTCTTGAGCTTCCTAAAGAGAAATATTCCAATTCCATAATCAAAATTATGGTGAAATGTAATGTATTAAAATTTCTTAAGTGCAAAATAAGTAACATGATTGATCAGTACATTAAAGTCATCAATCATTACTTCTACATGGAAAGAAGACTAAGTGAATACCCAAAAGTATCTTTAATGTTTCTAAAATAGTAAAGTTAAATCATTCATAACAAGAGAAAAATCTACCAATGCATAAATTAATTGCAAAGTCTTTTTAAATACATCTGTAGCAATAATAAATAAAATAATAAACCAATATTCACAACATAAAAAAATTAAAAGGCATAGTGTTCACCAGCTGAGGCATGTTGCCAACACAGAACGATTTGTAGAACTTTGTACGATAACTATTTAGCAGGATATAAATGGAAATATATTGTAACCCTCAATGATGCATGGATTTATCTAAATGACTGAAAAAAAAAGTCTACTTATTATTAGAAAGGACAAGAAAAAAATGTACAAACCTGGTTCCATCAATGCAAAGAAAATTTCAATATGGGGTTTATTATTATCACAAGATTCTCTTGTGATGAGAAATTTAAAACAAGGATGATGGAGCAAAAATTTAAAAACCAACTCAACATACTATCAAGAGAAAGTTTATAGAAGAAATTCCATTTCTTCATCCCAGTGACTGTCAAAGAATGAAACCTCTTAAATTCACTGGATTATATTAATATATATATATATAGTTACTACATTTAATTATATATAATATATTATACATATATATATTATAATACATGTAATTTATATATATATATATATACATGTACGATACATATTTTATCATACATGTATATATATATATACATGTACGATAAAAATATGTAAATAAAAATTCTAACTTTAAATTGCAGCTTTTTGATTCTCAATTTTAATTTCATCACTTCATCTTTCCATTCTAGAAATAGTAATTGCTTATGAAAAATCACTCGAAACTACATCATTTCAAAACTAATCTTTCTCATGCGATTTTTAATGCAAATACTTACATAATGTTTCAAAAAATAATAATTTCAAATTTGAAAACTGAAACTTAATCAAAATAAAGTTTAAGAATAACTAAATCATTATGAACCAATTTTCAACCTTCATTAACTTTACACCCAGACTACAAATGACACAAAATTATATATAATATTAAAAAAAATTTTTTTCTTTTTTTACAGAATGCTATGAAATTTGCGTTTCTAAAACACAAATAAGTTGTCCACTGTTTGTTTTAGTACATACATTCATCTCCAGAATCATGATCTTTATATCATGATTTCATGTCCTCCAGCTATTCCTTTGATGTTGATGAAGAAGGTTGTTCTTTCAAATGCTGACTTGTAGATATGTGCAGTCATGTTTTGCCACGCAGATTGCAAGGAATATTAATACCCTCTAGAATCTCAGTATAATCGGAATTGCGGTTTACTTCAGACGGTTTACTTCTTCCGTAAACCGTATTTTTTCATCTTAGCTGAAATTTGTTTTCTCTGTTTGGCCCTATTTTTGGCTTGTTTTCTTATTCCGCTTTTCTCCCCCTCGGCATGCAGATGGTTTCTTTTAATATAAATGAAATACACTATGAATTGCCTTAATAAGAATAACTAAGAATTGACGTAATTACACTCGACAGTCCTAAATAAATGGTCGCATCTGGCTTGCTGACTATTGAAAGCAAGCATATCTCAGAAAAAAGAAAAAGAACGGAAAAAAAGAGTACAGAAGAGACCTAAAAACTTTTTAAAAAAACCATAAAAATAATAAATCTAGCTTTAAAATCCAAAATGCACTCCATTGTTACAAGTCAAACTAAAGATGAGCCTAAGTTGCCGACTGGCTGCAAAAAAATCTAAATGCCTTGCTTCATCTTGAAGACATAATGACAGTGTCTTGTATATACTCGACGAATATTAATTTGAATTATTTTATTTGTCCGGGATGACCCAAGGTTAATTTTTTGGGTTAGCTCTTATAAAATAGTTACAATGCTTCTACATTTCCTAGCAGACGTTTCTATGGGAACCAGGCGACTTCTTCATCAAGTTATCGTTCCATTTCTTATTTGAATACACCCGGCCCAGACAGCAAATGATACAGGGACTCCAGATGTTACAGATAGGATCAGTCTGATTCTATCAGTGACGCCTGGAGTCACTCTATTGGCCTCTGTTTGATCTTCTATTTATAGTTGTAATCGGCTGTACTTAGCTTTATTAACTCATGTTCCTTTAAAAGGGTTTTTAGTATTTAATTAGAAATCTTCTTAAAAGAGGTTTTTAAACTTGGCCTTAAAACAACACTGAAATGCCACTGAATTAAGGATAGGTAGTCAATAACGAGTTGGTCCTCTTCTGATCTTTATAATGGCTGCCAAACGACGAAGCATAGATTCAATAAGTTTCTGGAAGCCAATTTA